CGCCCACCTCACACACAGGACCCACGCCTGCCCACCTCACACACAGGACCCACGCCTGCCCACCTCACACACAGGACCCACACCTGCCCACCCCACACAGGACTACACCTGCCCACCTCACACATAGGACCCATGCCCCGCCCTCCTACAGGACCCACGCCCGTCCACCCCACACAGGACCCACACCCGCCCACCCCACACACAGGACCCACGCCTGCCCACCTCACACAGGACTCATGCCTGCCCACCTCACACAGGACTACACCTGCCCACCCCACACACAGGACCCACGCCTGCCCACCCCACATAGGGCCCATGGCTGCTGTCACTGTCATCAAGTTGACGCTCTGCTTCCCACTGCAGGTTAATAATATCCAACCTAAGACGATATCAGTGATTATACCTTTTAGTCACCTGGCAATTTCCATCCAGCTGGCACTAACAGTCAATCAAAGTGCCATAAATGGCTCCTGAGAATGTACTAATGACTGCACGCTCTATCAGGCTCCCGGGGGGCTGCTCAACTCTTGGCACCAGAGCCACGCACAAACAGCCCCACTGCTCCTCCAGGGGCTGGGCTCCTGCTCCCAGGCCCTGGCTTGCACCGCCACACCCAAGAAGCTCCACCACAGTCTGAAAGGTTTCTCCTTCTGTGCTTACTGATGATCGGGGGCATCTGCGCTCGTACCCACCACCAGACAATGGTATGGTCTCCAGGGATGGCTGAGTGCCTCAGGAAGTACCCCATCCTCCTCCTCCACTGGAGAGCGTCTGGGAGACAGCGGCAGCCTGTGGGGCTGGAGGCAGGGCCACTGCTGAGCTGCCCGTCACATGCACCCCAACCTCCCGTCCCTGCAGGTCCCCTGCTCTCCGAGGGACCCCCACACCTGCCTACCCTCTCGCCTGGCTGCCATGGTCCCACATACACCTGACTTGGGCAGGACACAAAGCCTGAGAGACCAAAGCACAGCGTGGGCATCTAGGGGGCTGCTGGCTGTCCACGGCAGTGGATGTGGCGGGCTATGCCCTGCTGCCTCCAGTGCTCTCCTGGAAGCCCCCGTCCAGGAGGACAGAGATGCAGAGGTACCCTGCTGCAGAGGGTTGACACACTGGATGACATATCGGGCAAGGAAGTGCAGTGGGCACTGGGAATCAGGTGGCTTCCACATCCACATATGAAAACAGTAGGATCTGGGGGACTTCTGGGGTCCCCACTGCCCAGAGACAGCCTCTCAGGTGCCCCTGGTGACTGCCATTCATACAAGGCACAGGTCAGCATGTCCATCACCCGGGTGCTGCTGGACCTGCAGTGACACCCTGCACAGGAGCACTAGTCGGGGGAAGGGAAAGGCACGGCAGCCAGGCTGGGGATGTCCACCTGCACATCTGCTCTGGTTTAAATGCGAGGTGTCCCCACAGGCTCACGTGGGAGGCTGTGTGAGAAGGCTTGGAGGTGAGATGACTCGCTTAAGAGAGCCGTGACCTAACAGTGCATTAATCCACTGAGGGATTACCTGGGCGGGAGTGCAGGCAGGTGGGGTGTGGCAGGAGGAGGTGGGTCACTGGGGGCATGACTTTGGGTTTATATTCTGTCCCTGCTTCCTGACTACCATGTTCTGAGCTGATTTTTTCCACCATAGTCTTCTGCCAAGAGGTTCTGCCTCGCCTTGGGCCCAGAGCTACGGAGTTGGCTGTCTGTGGCCTGAGACCTCTGAAACTGTGAGCCAAATAAACTTTTTCTCCTCTAATTGTTCTTGTTGGGTCTTTTGGTCATAGTGACGAAAAAGTTGATTAAAATAGCACCCTTGAGCTGAGGTGGGGGCTTGGTGGTAGAGTACTTGCCCAGCGCGTGTGAGGCACTGGCTCGATCCTCAGCACCTCGTAGGAAAAAATAAAGTATGTCCATTTAAAACAGAAAAAAATGTAAAAACAACAAACCCCAGCATCCCTGCCCAGAAGGCCCAGGAGACCTCTCCATGGGGGTCTCCTGACTGAGGCCATACAGCGAGCTCCATCATAAGCGACCTGCAGCTGGTGGTAAAGGAGTGGCCATTTGTGTTCTGGGAGCCTGTCTCACCTGAGAACTGGCCTGCTGCTCCCTCACAGAGGAGCTGTTTGCAAAGCTGGTCAGGCCAGGGGCTGGTTACCACCTCAAGGAGCTGGGAGGAGGTCCTGCAAGTTCACGTCCCCATGGCCCAGAGGGCTCCTCACAAATGCTATATCGCAACAGGGTATCCTCCTGAGCCAGCACCAATGCCTGCTCAGAGGGGATGTGCGGCAGCTGCCCAGAACAGGGTGGGCAGAGCCACCTCCCATGATGCACTGCAGGGAGAGCCATGAGGCTACCAGACCGGCGCAAGAGTCAAAGTCAGGCCAGGCAGGGAACAGTGTGGAACATTCTAGACTGAAGGAGGCTCTGGTGGAGAGCCATGCCCCGCCATGGGAGCAGCCTGCCAGCAGGTGGCACAAAAGACTTGTCCTTCGTGCCACGCCTCCTGTGCCAGGGGGAGATCCCCACAGGACTTAGGGCAAACAGAAGCAGAGCTGAGTTTCCAAGGTGGAAAAGCAATTTTCTGTGATTATTCTAGTAGGAACATGAAGAGCTCACTAACCAGGATCAGCAGAGAAGGTGAGCAAACTTCGGCTGCCCTGTGTGGCACAGGCAGGAGCCACGGGAACCTCCTCCCTCCCGCTTCTGGAACTCTCAGGGTGACTATGGAATTAAGAGTGGCAGGGCCTCTATCCTCAGCCTCTGGCCTCCAGCCTCCAGTGAGCTATGAAAGGCACAGCAGGGCACAGGCAGCAGCTCCAGGCAAAGGACACACAAGATGTCACACTCCTGCTACATGACGGTCGAGATGCGCACTGCCCTGCAGGAAGGAAGTCTGCACACACCCATGGAGTCTTGAGATGCCCCGAGGTCAGCTACACTGGGTCCCAAGGAGACCAGACAGACATGTAGGGTGGAGCCAGCAGCTGCCAGGTGCTGGACTGCGGAGGTCCACCTCCACCTCATTACGGTGGCAGGTCACTCCTGACCTTGGAAAGCATGATACTCCTGTGGGAGGACACCAAAAATCAATCACTGGCTCCTCCTGCACCTACTGGAGAACAGGCCCCAGGCCCTTACTGCTTCCCACAGAAAGCGTCCTGTGCAGGGCCAGAGGGCCGCTGGAGGGTCTGCAGGAGGTCCGGCAGAGCTACCAGACATGTCTTGGGCACATCATTCCTGAAATATTCCAACAAAAGTCCTACTCACAGCTCCAAGCATGATCCTGAAGATGAGCCAACGGAAGGCCCACAGCACTGTCCAGGGCGTGGGGGTGTGCCGGGGCAGTCGGGACAGAGTCCACCAGGGGCACAGGAAGATTCCCAGGAACCCCGTTTCCAGCAGCTGCGACTCCCAGCCTGGTTGGGGAAGCAAAACACACAAAGGGTGCGCTCAGTAGGGCCGGCCAACACCAACTATGCCTTGCGCCCAGGTCAAAAGAGAACTCAAGACACCACCCAGACGACAGACATGCCTCTGTGGAAAGGAGACCTGGAGCTCTTGAGAGCAGAACCAGGGCCTGGGGCTGGGTGGGCATGCACCCTCAACCGCCCTTCTCCCCGCACCCCATGAGGACGCCTTAAGAGCATGAGTCTGAGCCCATCACAGGCTGTGCTGCCAAGGGGGTCCGTGGAAGGCTTCTTGCTCAAGTGGATGTGGGAGGTTGCAGCTGGGGGCACCCTTCCCCAATGGAGGCTCGCCAGAAGACTCCACAGGAGGAGTCTGCCCTCAGGTGGAGCAAGGCACCACCAGGACCCATGCTGGGGACGGGTGGGCCACTACCACACTGCCACCTGTGAGCCCCCAGGGGCAGGACGATGACAGCCCAAGTAGCCCAAGTGCTCCTGGATTTGCTGAAGTGGCCTGCCAAGTCAATGCTACTGGGGACTCCCCCTGAGATGCCACCACAGGGTGCTGGGGACAGGGCCATTTGCTTTGAGGACCCACAACCAGGTGGTTCACAGCAAGAGTCACCATGTTTACACACATATGCATGTGTGGCTGCAGAGGACCAGGAGGGACAGGGAAGGCCGCACAGGTACTGGCAGATGTGGAAGCACCCCTCATCCACCCTGGAGTGCTGCTGTGTGTAGAGATTACTTTATGATAAAAGCTGATAGGATGGGACCTAATTAATATTAAGTCATAGCTATAAACAGACATTCACAAGTCTGCACTGACACAAGTTGCTGAGCAAATCAAGGGGGACCAAAAACAGAGCCCCGAGCAGAGTCTTGCTATGGGCTACGTGGCCTTCCTGCCCTGGGCACAGGACAGGAGAAAGTTCTGCTGGGTACACGCAAGTGCCTCCCTGACTCTCCCTCCCAAGTCCAGCTCCTCTCCAGCCATGGGAACCACAGGCCAGTCCCAATGGAGGGGCTTCCCAAACCACCCCGGCGTCAGAAACAGGGAAGTCTGGGGCTGGGGGTGTGGCTCAAGCGGTAGTGCACTCGCCTGGCATGCACGGGGCGCTAGGTTCTATCCTCAGCACCACATAAAAAAATAAAAAATAAAGATATTGTGTCCACCAAAAACTAAAAAATAAATATTAAAAAAAAAGAAAGAAACAGGGAAGTCTGAGAGGAGCCCCAGAGACTACGTACTCCCTGGGGTCCCAGGCCAGGAAACCCAGGGAGATGTGAATCAAGTGGACATCAGTTCCCTGAGTGTATACCATGCTGACATGAGAGGCAAGTGACGGAAATAGTGTGTGTGGGGCTGTTGCTTTCACAAAACTCTGGATCCAAAACTGCTCTAAAGGTGAGACAGCAAGAGCCCGTACTACAGGAACTCTGGATTGGCAGAGGGGAAGGAGGAAGAGGAAGGGGGTGTAGGGATGGGAAAGATGTGAAAGGAGAAGGACGTCATCACCCTAGGTTTGGGCATGATCCACAAACAGTGACTCCACATCATGTGCAACCAAAGAAATGAAAGGCTGTGCTCCATCGTGAACGAATAGAAATGCGCTTGCTATCACATGTAACCAATTGGAATAGGGGAAAAAAGAGCTGCAGCACACCCTCCAAGGGCACTCCCGCTGCCAGGCCCTTGTGAGGGTCACCCGCTTCCACCAGCCAGGAGAGTGTAGCAACCTAGTGGGCCGCAGCACCCAGGTGTCTACCTGCTTCCACCAGCCAGGAGAGTGCAGCAACCTAGTGGGCCGTAGCACCCAGGTGGCCACTGGTCTGTATTTTGATGGCTAGCTCCTCAGAAGACCTGGACCTGATACAGAAGGGGCAGGCAACACAGGGATGGGCCACACTGGATGGCTCTGACAGGCCCTGCCCGCAGGTGGAAGGGCCCAGCTGTCCAGGGGCAATAGTCACTGAAGCATGGGCACCCCTCCAGGGCAGTGTCAGAACAGGCACGTGGCGCTGAAGGCAGCAGTCAGGGCTCAGGCCTCCTGGACCACGAGCCTCAACACTCTTGGCCCTCACCCAGCTCTGTGCATCTGGGGGCTGTCACCAAAGGGCCCAGTGGCAGCTCCACTTCCTGAGCACTGCCCTACCTGGGCACGGGGTGCCTGGTGCGCTCCGGGGCTCTGTGCAGGGAGTCGGCACCAGGGCATCACACAGCACTTGAGTCCTCCTGACAGACTCAAGGCCTGCTGGGCCCACCATGCTTCCTGCAGGGTGACATGGCTGCAGTGCCACCTAGGAAGGTCCTAGAATGAGCAGGTCTGATGCAGGTGAGAGAAACCATGGCAGCCAGCTGCTTGTTGGCAGTGAGCCCTGGTCCCCGACCCTATCTAGAGGGAAATGGGGGAGCCCTGAGTCCCTCATTGGAGCTGCACACTCCACCAGAAAACACAGCCAGAGGCCTCAGCCTAAGGACCTACTTCAAGTCCCGCCCGCCAGATCTTGCTCCGTGTACCCACGCTAACAGTATGCTGAATCCACTTGTGCTTCACATGGCTGTGACATGTGTCCTGTGAATCTTAGGCCCAAGGGGTGTGTGGGAGGCCCCTGACAAACAGGCCGTGAGCTGCTGCAGAGATGCCACATTCTGAGGAAGCATCTTTAAATCCACAGGTGCTAACCCTATCTCCCCCTGGTAGGTGAGAGAAACCCCCAAGCACCAGGGCAGCAGAGCACACCTGAGCCCCACACAGCCACCCTCTGGACCCAGGGCCTTGCTGAGACCTCCCAGCAACCCTGGGCCAGGGCACAGCTGGTTTGGTGACAATCACTGTGTAGGCCACATCTTCTGGGGGACTTGCTCCCTAGTGCCTGGAGCCTGCCACCTCATTCTGCAGATGTCAGGGGCAGAATTCTAACATGCACTGTGACTGACACCGATCAAAGTGATTGATACACAATGCCAGAACAGACACACCTGAGTGCCAGGAGGCAGAGAGACGGGAGACAGCTGTCTCCACTGGCAAGGAGCTTTGTGCAGCCTTCTCCATGGACACAGCAGGCCCTGCTGAGCATGGCCCAGGGTCGGGACCCTCTGCTCTTGCCCTCCCCAGGTCAGAATGGTCTTGGCAAGGTGGGCCCACTCTTCCCAAGGGATGCAGAAGCTGCCTGGTGGCTGTAGCTTTTGGACACACCAGGAAAGGGAGGTCACTGTAGCCCCATTTGCTTGTATCTTGTCAAATCTTAGCAGCTGTGCTAGGTGCCCAGGCAGTCACTGTTCTCCCCTTCAGTGTGGCAGAAGATGCATCCCCAGGGAAAATAACCCACCAGCGTGCTGCTCAGGGCCGCTGCCCGGCCCTGCTCCCAAGTGCTGCTGCTAGCTCTTGACCAGCACAGGCTTCCCTGGGCAGCAGAGAGCCAGTACCTCTGCAGGAGAAGGGAGGCCCAATGGAACTCACTTCAACCACATGCCCTCACTTAAGAATCCACACTTCCTGTCCCCACTTAGGTCTAGGCCCAGAACTACTGCACCCCTCCCTGTTCCTTTTCTCCACACCAGTGGGGAGGTGCTGGCTGTCATGGACTCTGGTGGAGAATGTGACTTCTCTGCACTAAGCCTCCAAGTGCAATCACTCACGTCATAACCACTCGTATCACGCAGCTCCTCCACAGCTGTTAACAGAAAACCACCAGACCCAGGGACTGCATCTTGGCGACTCCTATGCACTGTCCCAGGAAGGGTCTCCTTTCAACTCTGTGAGGGCTCACAGTGCCCACCTTGTGGATGGTGAGGTCCTAAGTCATTTAATGTCTGCTTTTCTTTTCTTTTTGTAGTACTGGGGCTAGAAACCAGGGTGCTCTACCATTGAGTTATATCTCTAGTCCTTTTTATTTTATTTTGAGACAGGGTCTTGCGACATTGCAGAGGCTGGCCTAGAACTTGCAATCCTCCTACCTCAGCCTTCTGAGTCACTGGGATCACAGGCATCTGCCATTATGCCCAGCTTAACATCCTTACTCTTTAATAACCAAGGAAAAGCATTGCCAGTGGATCCAAGACTCAGTGCACTGCACAGAACCTAAGGGGGGGGGCCAGCAAGAGGTGTTTCAGGCCAAGCGATCAGTGTGAAACAGGAGCTGGTAGCCTCTGGAGGGGGAACTGGCACCCACCTGAGCCTGAGTCCCCTCACCCTCGGGGGCTGGCTGGCACTCCCTGGCTGAGCTCTAAGCTGCCTGCTCCCACACAATGACAATGCAGAAGTGGGTGTCTGTGCTGCTTCTGTTGTGACACCCAGGAGCCGGGGAAGATGTGTTACCAATGGAGGGCCAGAGTACTCACCACAGCCAACCTGCACAGACACTGGGAGGGGAGGCAAAGGGAGGAGCCAGGCGGGCCCATGCTGGACAGCTGCTCCCATGGAAAGGGCAGACAGGCACACCCCAAGACCTGGGGAGCAGTGCTGGCAAGGGGTAGGGGGGCATCCCTGCCAAGCAAGCACTGGGTTAGAGGCCAAGCTGAGCTCTGGGCAAAGGAACAGGGAGGCCATGGAAATGACACGAGAACTTCAGGATTTCAAGTGGATGGGAGCACACTCAGTGGGTGAGGTGCTGGCCACCCCAAGACCAGACGGAGGGCCTGGGGGCTATGAAGGCAGAGACGAGGGAGGTCCAGCAGCCTGGGAAGGGGCTGCAGAGTGGGAGAACAGGGGCCTTCAGAAGGTCCTGTGCTTGGACATGCTCCAGGTCCACAGGGGAAGGATGCAGCCAATTCACAGTGTGGTCCTGGGTCACTCCTGCCATGGGTGGGGACAGCTGGGATGCAGATGTATTGGCCACGGTGAGGAGTGAAGGCTTCGGGGTGAGCTGCCAGGTCGGGGCTGGATGGGCCAGCAGACATCATGCACAGGTGAGACACGAACAGCATCACCTGGACTAGTGACCGTGCCTAAGACAGAGCCACCTCCAACCCAAAAGAAATGTGGTTAAAACAACAGAGGCAC